TGCTGAGGGTACATTCAATCCCCTCATCAATATTTTTAGTTAATTTAGGTAATTATTAATAATTTAGTTAATTTAGATAATTTGTTAGTTTGTCACACAGGAGCGGCGTCTGGATGCTGAGAAGAGGAGAGTGGCCTGCGTAAATTCTTTTTTAAGGGTCCTACTGGGGTTTACTGCCAGATGTAGGGGTCAGGCATTTACCTTGAACAGAATATCCGTACACATTGCTTTTCCATGCGTTATTATTGGTTCCTGATCTTCACCTTTGCCATCCCAACAGTCCAGTTCAACACACCTAAAGACCCAAGGAAATTATGTGAGCTCCCTTTCAGTACAGGCAAGCTACTCGCGACAAGTTCTGAGCAGTGATGTTCAGAGCAGTAAGTTACAAAGCACTTTGGGCATTACACAATGCCTTTTAAAATGCACATGTGTAATTTCACAATTCTTATATAACTTTGTGTACATTACCTTAAATGTATTATGCATAGGGCAATATATTTATACTGAACAATAATGTTTTTAGCACTGTAACACTCTTCTAAATTATTCTCTTCCTCAGTTAACTGTGACACATCCCAGTACATTAAGAAATTAAGCAGGAAATCATAAACTGATTCTCAGTTACATACAAACTTAATTACAAAGCAGAATGCCCTATGAAATACTTCAGTTGTCATTTTGAGATCTCACACAAACCTTCTCCTGAAATCAATTTCTAAATTCCACTGCCTTTCAACATATTTTTGTAAGAAAAAGTGTCTTCAATGGGTATATTTTAAATTACTAATATACATACATACATACATAATATACTACACTAATATATTTATATATTCAATTATGTAATATATCAACACTAAGGTATATTACGTAAATTTACAGTATTAGATTCACAAATACTATATATGTTATCTTCTGCTTCCAACCTGCATCCAGCCAAAAGCACTTGTCTGTACATCTCCACCGAAGACTTGCCACCAAATTGCCTGCCTGTTAAATAGGTATTGTGAGAGGAACTGATGAAATAATGAGCCAAAGGATGGTCCATTTCTTGATATAATTCCAAACGGTCTAGGAAAACTGGGGCATTTTCATCTGACATCAAGTATCTGCAAAACCCATCACTTGATATAACACCTAGAATGAAGAAGAAAGCATGGTAGATTACTACTAGAAATTTATAGTGCGCAGGAATCAAACTGTCTCACAGGGCAGGAACCCTACCACAAAAGCTATGTTTACGCAGGCTTCTGCAAGAAAACAGAAGCTCTCCCCTTCCAGTCCTCCAAGTTACCAGTAACTGGTAACTTGGAGGTAACTTGGAGGTAACTGGCACAAAATCTGCCACTGTATTCCCAGATAACAAGAAAAAAAAATCAGGTGCCCACCTGAATCAATAGCCTATGTCCAGCACTCACCATTAATAGACCTAAGGCATCAAGAGGATGTGAAGAAGGCAAGTAAGTATTGACATCTCCTCAGAATACTCCCAACAATTTTGGGCTCTGGAACTCTGTGAGCCAGAAATTGTGAGCTCGCATGTATCAGTCTTCTACAGTACTTTTCTGCCCCCTTTCATATTTAGTCCTGCCTGGCCTGTGCTACATAGCTGCTAATCAGCTTGCAGCATGTGCAGAGACTGTTCTCCACTGACAGAAACAAGTGGAGATGTAGCTGAAAATGTCTGCATGTGTTTATCTGCAAAGCATTAGGAAAACCTAAGATAACTTCAAGTTTACTGTTTGAAATACAGGTTTATTCCTTTATAATGAAGCCATTTTCTACAATGAACATGGGACGTACAGTTATTCAGAGGACAGAATTAATAATATCTTTATCTTATTTCTCTGCTGTTATATGCTTCATAGGGTATAAAAAGTACAAATCAAGGGACACATTTTAATGAAAACAAAGTAAGAATACTCAGTACTGCAATATCAGTTTTAAAGTGGCCAAGAGACTCAAAAATTATCTGGAGTAGGGAAGAAGGGACTACTCACAGTGTCACTGCAGAGAATAGTTATCTAGCACTAATTAGCAGATTGCTTTCCCTAAGTCATATATGAACACTCAGCTACTGTTAAGGCACAAGTTGCAGCAGTCCCATTTTTATTTTGTTTAAGACAACTTTTCTCACAGAGCTTTCTTCAGAGAACTCAAGTAATCCTGCTTTTTATTCTGTTCCTAGCCTTCTGAAAAAAATCCTCTACTGGAGCTTAAATTTTCTGTGCTTGGTTTCAGTCAGAGGTGAACTGTTCTGGAACATCTTATTCGAATCCTCTCACCTGATTCTATGTGCTCAACAGATTGGCCTTTGTGTTTCTGACATGCACTGACCAGGTGGAAGAATTTGCTTTTGTAGTGTTCCTGAGCAAACTCTGGTTACTAAGCTGCATAGCATTAACTTGTTCAGCTTTATTACTCTTTCAGATACTGAAATGTAACTGAGAAAGAGTCAGTTGTATATTGCTACTGCCTTGTTGTACATCAGTCTTGTTTCTTAAACTACATGATTTAGAAAAAAAAAAAAGGTGTTGAGATTAGTTATTTTTCTCAACAGCAAAGTTTTATGTAATAAGAAGGGGAAGGAGACTGCGGAGAACAATCACTGCTGAGAGAAATTCTTGCCTTCTTTACATGCTAAGTTTCAACATGTTATTATATGAAATCATGTCTTTATCCTACTGATTGCATTGGGATAAAATCTGCATGACTGAGTATGACCCATGAAGGAACACTAAGAGGACTGCTGCTGTTCTGTTGTTACTCTCCATAACCCTATACCTGCAGGATGTTTACCATACTTATTTAAAACCCGTTAGAAATATATATCAAAGAAAAAAAGCTAAATAATTAGCCAAGATTCAACTATTGGCTAAAAGAATAAGCTAATATCATTCCCTTGCTACAGCTTGGTGCTTGCAAAATCCTCTTCTTCGTGAATTACTGAACATAATTTTCCAGTTTTAGATTAATTTCCACCTTCATAAAACATGTTCTTACATCTTCCACACTAAACAGGTGTCACTACGTTCATACACCTTCTTCATTTTGGAAAATATGTAAAATACACTGGTATCAACAGGGATCAAAAAAAGTGCCTTTAAAAAATAACAAGGGATAAGAGTTGGCTAGAATTAAGTCATTAACATTGGGATAATTCTACTTCCCATAGAGAGGAAGGGAAATAAGCTACACCACTTATGAGTAGAAAATCCTCATAATGTTTATAAATGACTCCTAGACAAGAGATAGACCTCCCTCTCTCCCAGGTATTTCCTGGAAAGTCCATGTTTTCAGAGACATAAAAGAGCATTCTATTAACTCAGCATATAACGCAGTGTCTAGAGTAGCATATACAGTACAAGCTGCTCCTCTAGCACTTTGGTCAAAAGGACTGAAGTATTATAAGAAATGGCAAAAGCTACACATCCAGCTACAGAAGGATTCCTTAAGTTTATTGACTGAGGAAGCCAACTGTAAACTCTTCCCAACCACAGGCCCAGAGAGTCAAAGGGGCAAGTATTGCTGTGGAAGGCATTGTTGGTGTCAACGCCTGTGATCAAAAAGCTACATAAAGGCACACAGGGAACCCAACAAGGCTGCAGCACTGAGCAAGAGCTGCCTCAGGCTTTATTGAAGCAGTTTAAGATATTGCCTCCTTCTGTTGTCTGCTTTGCACATCCTCCATCAGCAGGGGCAGCACTAGTGGATGTGTAAAAGCTACTCAGCTTCTTCAGCACTAGCTCAATACATAAATCTAAGTGTCTAGAGAAAGTGGCTTCCTGTTAGGATGCCAGAAGGTCAATGGGCTTTGCAAGGCTGCAGTCTCCTCAACTGCATGCTACAATGACAGTAACATCCAGCAAAAGGGCAGGGAGGACAGATGGGGATCGCAACATTTTTAATTGTTGCTGTTGATCCCAACACCCACTTACACCTCCAATACCCACTGCAGCTCAGGACGCGAGCAGTCCAAGAATGGCTTGGAGACACTTCCTGCAATCTCCTTGCTCAGAGAGAATTTTTTTTTCAATGCACTCACAAAAAATACTCTGTTTTAAGCTAGGCTGCTGCCCTCAAGCACTATACAGAATATATCATTAAAAAGTGGATGCATATTCAATGGCCCACATGGTAATATTTTATTTTTAATGTTTTTATTTCTACACAATACCTGTACAGCTCTGCAGTCTCTCTGAGACCTTGGCCATAGAATCACATACAGAATCACATACAGAATCACAGAATCTTAGGAGTTGGAAGGGACCTCAAAAGATCATCCAGTCCAACCCCCCTGCCAGAGCAGGATCAGCTAGACTAGGTCACCCAGGAACGCATCCAGGAAGTTGAACCTCCTGTGTACTGGTTTGTGACCAGTGACAAGTTTGGTTCCCTTGCTGATACAGATGCTGCTTGCTTTTTGTTTTCACACTTTGCTATCTTGTTGCCCTGCTTTGCTCTTTAGTTGTGCTTTTTTTCTCTCTGTAATGAATTTGTCTCAAGTTAAATTCTGTATCTTGCAGCATTTGGTAGAATTTATAAACATGAATAAGGTCAGCCCTCAGTCTCCTCTTATCCAAGCTAAAGAGAACCAGGTCCTTCATCCGCTCCTCATAAGGGAGATGCTCAAGTATCTCCTCATAAGGGAGATAGGCACAAGCATGTTGTCTTGCTGCTGGAAGGAGTTTCCATGTTGTTCCCTACTTACACAATCCTAGCCTCTCCCATTTTGTATCAGGATAGCTATATTTGTAGCCACGCTCTAACTTGGATAAGGGAAATAATAATTCTAAAAAATCACTGGTTTTGAGGGTGAGGTATTTTTCAGCAGAACAGTTAGTTTCCTGATGTAGTTTACTGGGTGGCCACACAAGTGCTTACCCCCTGACCACAAGGAATGTCAGCTTCCTTTTAAAAGTTTGGATGCTTTGGAACAATTTCCCCAAATGCCTAAAACCAGTGAATACTGAATTTACTCCCACATTTACCTTTACTCTTCAAGTCTTCATCTGGCTCATAAGTTTCAATTATCTGCATTGCTCTTTTTGTGTCATAAAAGGGAAATAAAATTTCATTGAGCCGAGGATCTCGTTGATGCTAAGGTTAGAAAACAACGGAATTCAGCAAAACAATATAGTGCATGGCTATCATCCAAGAGCATTTCATTACTGCAGATGAGAAAGAAAGAAGTGGATATTTAAAAAAAAAAAAAAAAAGCCCTAAAACTTACAGACCATTCAACAGTAACTTTAGCTTTAGACAGAAAACAAACCTTATCGTTCATAAGAAACCTAGACTTTTTGACGATAAAAATATTTTCTAAAAAAAAACAATCCAATGCAATTGGTCTTGAAAAGAATGACTGCACGTGGTATACGTGCAAATGAAATGTTGAAAATAGATAGCTAGATCTTTCTTCTTTGTAATCCTCTCTCTTCCTGATCTTTTTTGTAGATCATGTAAAATGACAGACTTGACTGATAGCACTGGAATCACCTTTGGAAAAATGCATGTCTTCAGCAATATGTACAGCTAAAGTAAAAATTAAAAGTAAAATAAAGCTATACTATAAATACAAAATTTGAAACCAGAGTTTAGCAATATGCAACTACTGATGATTATTTGTGAATCATGGAAACATTGTGTTATTAACTATTAAAAAATCCCTGTAGGTTCTTAGAAGAAATATGTACAATTAAAAGAGCTTCATAGTATCATCTCTTCAATTCGCAGCAATTTACAATAATAGGATTTCATAATATAGGTAATATTTAGATCGAATTTAGCAGTGATTTCTAAAACACTACTAAAACTCAGAGCTTTTAAGTTTTCACTTAATAGTGTGCTATGGTTTTGGTTTTCTTCATGCTGGATTACAGCTGCACACTGTGTGCCTGATTCTCCATTAAAAGAAAATTAAAAACAGAATTGAACGGAGTAGTGGCATGTAAGCAGATGCAATAAAACAAAGAAATAAATATGACTGTGAAAACACTCTTTTACCCCAGTAGGTGCAAAGTTTTCAAGCTTTAGTTTAAGCAGAATTCAGAAATGTAACAGGCCACCCCCAAAATGGTGATCAATAATTTGGAGTGGACAGGATGGTGTTGATATGGCTTGGCACAGCACTATCAGCATTTGCTGTAATTCCTTATGTGTACACTTTTTGACCTTTTTTAGTTTTAAAAGCAATATCCAATCAAAAATAAGCACTTGATCTCTTTTCTTACAATCAATACACTGGTGCATGTGCTTAATTAATTCCAAGAAATTACAACCAATGCTAATTTAATCATGCAATTAACTAGGAATCTTTCAAGTAATGCTACTGACAGTCTGCAGCATCTAAAATACAGCAGTTTCATTCACTACAGATTGGCTGTCTGGATATCTACATAAAATTCAGATGAAATATGATAGGAGAGCAGAGGGATGCAGGACATAATTTGCTAAGCAGCACACAACAGCAACACAACACTGGCATGCAGCACTACAATCTATAGTGACAAATGACAAGCTTTACACCATTAGTGACAATACACCACTTCAGAAAGTTGTAAGAAACAGTAGGGAAGGTTCTCAACTCAAGAAAAATGCTTTTCCCCACTCTCTTTCTTGTACAGTTAGTCATAAGCAAACAGAAGTAAATAAATGGAATAAAGCAAAAGGTCTCATTTTGAGAAAGAGTCCCAGCGTAATGGGAAAGAGCTAAGAGCAAAATATTATTCTTGTAGCAATGACCATCGCTCATTATCAGTTTCACATTTGAACAAAAGCACATCCCTATGTTTACTCAGTTTAAAAAAGAAAGCAGAATTGACAACTGATGAAGGTTTACTTAAAGAGGAAGAATGCTTACTAGTGTCTCTTGAGGAAATGTTCTGCACTACCGAGCTTGTTGGCACAGGAAAGTTCCAGCAGTAAAGCTGACCAAAACTAAATGCATGAAGTTTCATCTAGAAAGATAACATGCCCCAAGACTAATTGTGTATGTCCAACAAAGTTGCATTTGATTGTTGGAGTTACTATTTTAGACAGGACATGCTTACACTAGACATTCTTAACTATATGAGGGTGAACCATCTAAAAACATGGGGAGAAAGAATGCCTGTATAATTCCACAAAGGAAGAAAGATCTTTTAGCCTCCTTGACCTGGCCTCCATTCTCCCCTCTGAGTGGACAGAAACTGAGATGCACAGCAGTTAATGAGGTGCAGGAATCAATTTTGCTTCTTGAATTTGACCTGTGCAGTGATAAGAAGGGTGTCTTTTTGTAGAGATGAAAAACTGAAAGAGCAAGCGAGTGAGTGGGAAGGACGGAGGAAGAAGCAAGTATGATGAGGGAAGGGAGGGAAGAAGAACAAGGAAGTGGGAAAGAGAGGGGGCAGTGGGAAAGAGAGGGACAGTAAAGGATCTCCTCATAGCTTCTTCCCAGGAGAAAGGATGAGTCCTGGTCAGACTACTGAATTTCTACTTTGACAGTTACATGGGTGCCTGCCAATAATTAAATTTCTAAAAACTTCCAGAAAGCTTTAATACTGATACACAATTAAATCAGCTGTTAGCCAGCAGCATTTAAAAGTTAAATAGGGACAGCAGTTTGGAAAAACTCCAGGAAAGCAGCTCACTCTCGACTCATACCTAGTAATGTATCCTTGTGGTCCCTTAGAAACCCATAACACTTAGAGCTTCTGCAGCATGCCTTGGAGGTTACTGAATTAAAAATAATTTAGGTTAAATACTCTCATGAAGAATTGCTCTGCCAAGTAACTCCCTTATCCTGTATAATGATAATAATCTTTTGGTATTTTCCAGCATTAAACACCACCGCTAATTGCAGTGTTGGCCAGCTGTCAAGGAGACAGAAATGATCACTTCAGGAGGAAGATTCTGGGTCACAGTGCCTTTTAAATCAAAACTCTAAACTCTAGACCAAAAGACCTCTAGTACAGAACCAAAGAAACTAGTTTCAGTAATCAGAATGAATGTCCTACTCTATAAAATCACTTGATTATTTTTTCCCAGGTCTGATCACCAACTAAAGGGCCAACTACAAGATAATTCAATTGCTAAAGGTGTTGTGTCAATAAGAATGTTGCCAACAAGATGCATCTTTCTCCAATACTGCCCATAAAATAAGCCTTCTAATTCTGTAAAAAGAACCGCTAAAACAATAAAAAAATGAGAGCACAATAATTCAATTTCATTTTTTTAATCAGTTACTGGAGATAGTCGGGAGGCTCTTACAACTGCTGGCAGCTCTTCTTCATAAGTTTGGACTTCAAAGAAACACACTTTAAAGTAAAACAATTACAGATATCAATTTTAAAGTAACGATAAGGCAATAATTTACTGAAAAATGAGAATTAACAGTAAAAAAAAACCCAAACCAGAAGGTAATATGGTTCAAGGTGGAGACAGGGTTGTGTGCTTCAAGCAGTGAAGTGTATTTATCACCACAAGTGAATTCAGGGGCTGAGGTACTTTAAGGGGATAATTATGATTTTATTTTGTTTTATAATTTAATTAACAACATTATCCTTTCTGTCTTTGATGCAGAAGCAAAAAAGGCATGCCTTAGCTATGACCCCAGTCCTGCCAACATATAGACACTGAACTGTGTAAATAGCTGTGACAAAAGAACATCTCGCAGTAGTAATATTAAACCTGTGCTTCAATTTGCTAATAAAGTGAACTATGTGTATACAAACTAAGGCCCCATGTATGGAACCATTAGTCCTGAAGCTGTTAATCTTCTGTCTTTACTTTCAGAATACTCTTTCTACATGTAATTCAGGTTTGATGAAGAGTAAGACATGCATTCCTTACTGAAAAAGGAAATTATATTATAAATCTGATATAAGGGGAACTTACTGCTTGAATCTTCATATATCGGTATCAGATATATATATAAATACATTTATATAAAATATATATAAAATAGATTTATAACTAGTGAAATAATTTTAGATGGAGAGATTTTTGTTAATGCACGCAGTCCCTAAAAGGTCATGCAAAGAGGTAAAGCAGCTATCTGTGTTTCAGATGACAAGAATCTACTGGTACTAAAACAAGTAGAATGTGTCTGTTTTCCATGCATAGGTACTTGTCAAATCTGTATAGCGCATTTATCATTGCAATTCTGAATGAGTCAGTCTTCTATAACTTACTGTGCTTTCAGAATAGAAAAAAACAGCCCCACACTGTTTATCGAACTGATTTGCATACTCACAATACTTCTAAGAAATACTAAATACTCCTGTCACCAACTGTATTCTGGAAACAGCAATAAAAATACTTCCTCTTATTCTGCACACATAATATTTAAAAAAATCATGTACAAACTCTTAAAATATCCTCTTAACTCTTAGATTTTTAAGAGACTGAAATAATACTGTCGCAAAGAATCAAACTACTGTCTATAAAAGCCTACTTCATTTTTTCAGAAAGGATTTTTCAGAAGGATTAGTAGGTATATTTAGCTGTGGCCTACAGGTAAAGCAATTGTTTATAAAAAAATACTGGGTGTATTTTAGTTGAAACTACATTAAATATAACAGTATAAAATGTATAAAACATACATAACACACAACACAACAGTAAATAATCAACAGATGCAATCTGCAAAGCCAACAAGTAGAAAGCACAACAACATCCAAGGTTGGAGCTGATTTTTGCACCTGGATGTTACCATAATGGAAAGATCAGCAGATCAAAAGCATAGCAAATAATGGCATGATTCGTGCAATGGAAAGATTGGAAGAAGCAAGCCACTGCAGACAGACTTGTATGGTAGTTAATGTATGAAAAAGCTTACTTCATTTAGAAAGCTCACTAATTGGTCTACCGTTAAATAATCAGTTTTGTCTCCATTGCTGAAAAGAAATTTATTAGAGAACGTAAGTTTTCATATACGATGCTACAGTAGGTATGATTTACATGTTGACATTGTTGATACTTTCAAAACCTTCCACTTTTCTACCTGAAGTAGCTCTATAATCTCAAAATGAACAGTCACAAAAAACATACTGTCTATGCTTGGCACAGTATCTCTCTCATACCTCCTATAACTTAACAAACATTACTTCATAAAACAACATGTAAGTCCTCCAGCTGAGAATAAATTGAGTGAAGAAACTTTAAAAACTTCAAATTTCTTATTTAATTTTGTTAGTTCACATACTCTGTTAATCACCTAAAGGAGCAAGTTAAAATTACAGTAGTTAGTAAAGCCAATGCAAAAAAATTCCAGGTGCTTCTAACTCATGTAAGAGTTACTCTAAAATACACAAAAAACTTTTACCTTAACAACTGAGAGGGAAGAAAAGGGAAAAACATAGACTTGAGTTTGTCTTAAAATACTGCTGATGCTACTAGTATTCGAGGTTAGAAAATCTTCACAGTGTTCTGTCACTATTAGATATGGACTAAAAATATAGCAAAACAATTCTAAAGCAAGATTATACTAATTTTGAACTTACATCTTCTTAAAGAGGTCTTCTATGTCCGTTCGGGGACATATCTTTTGGGTGAGCTCATAAAATTTCTCATAAGTAAATGCTGCAGGCTCAATTTCATCATTCTGAAACAAAAAGCAAAGGTATATTTATCCAGCAAAACAGGACTTACATGCTCTTTTCATAAGAGCCTATCTTATATCAGGAAAGGCAACTGAGAACTCTTTACCTAGTATACGTTTACCTAGTTTCTTTTGTATTTTCTGAAAACAGTTCATAATTCATCCTTATCATAGATCCGTTTGATATGATTATACTCTAACCTCACAGTAACACTAATTTTACACAAACACAGAACTGGAAAACAGTCTGTATTTTGATTTTGAAGCTTAAAAGCCCCCAGAAAGTCCAAAATAGTGTACAGACCTCATGATACTTATACTGAAGGCAAGTAACAATGAGGAAAAAAAACAGGTTTGGCGCAATGGTTTTAAAAAGCAAAGCAGCTGTCATACAGGGGCATGTACAATTTTCATGAGGGAGGGAACACATGGCTAACACATTCAGTATCATGTCCCCCTCTGAACAAGATGAGAACTGCAGCAGTGAGGAAAAAATTCATCTCAGGTGCCAGGCACTGCTACGGGGCAGGGAGTAAAGCCAAAAAACTAGCTGCAATTGTAACCAGCCATCACCTCTCTGGGGCTGCTGGCAGGGGCTCCTGCTGTGAGTGGGACACAGCAGGACAGCAGTTTTTCAACAGAAGGGACCAAAGAGAGGAGTCCAAAAAATTCAACTGAGAGGACAGCATGTAACAAAAGAAGTATTATATGCATACTCTGTGCTCATGTACTTTGTATAAATGAATGAAAGGTAATCTGTTACAGAAAAGAAGGGGAGCCTCACCTAAGAAGTTTAAGGACCACTCTGTCATACAGATTTAATTACATTTCAGTTTTAGTAAACAACCTACAGTGATGAAGAAGTTACTTATGAAGAATAGGCATGTTTGCATGTGATGCAAATGACTTGCATCACAGCTATGAATGTGAATGATTCATCAATTTATTAGTACACAAAAAAAGTTATCCAAAACCACTGAATACCTTTCCACTGGGAAGACCTAATTCCTTAAGCGCCTGAAAGATCACTTTTTCTGTTTTACCTGATGCAAAGGTTCTGGTAATGCTAAAACAAAAAAGAGTGGGGGAAAAAAAGTAGAAATGTTAGTCACTTTTTAAACAGTCAATTCTCTCGGTCTTGCTTTTACTGCCAACATTTCCCTCTGGCTTAAACTGATGAATGTAACCAAGTAGTAGAGTAGTTGAAAAAGTGCTCCAAGCTTCATGGAGCAGCAGTGCTCTGCCTGCAAGCCATCCATTAGAAAAATGTCTCAAAATAATGAACTGCAAAAAGAACAAAAGAGGGTGAAAGGTTTTTTTGCCAGTATACTGCGACATAGAGCCATGCAAAGCACTATTCTGTCGGGTCTTTTCAATTCTATGCATAGATAAATGACTTTCTAAAACGCAGCAGTTTCTACCAGTAAGGAGACTCATGTCTCCAGCCATTCCAGGTTGTAGTGACTTCCCCAGCCATTTCTGGTTGTGGCGACTTCTCTTCCTTTCCAAGTATTAAACTATGCCTCCCAGATCGCCCATAAGATAGGAATGAAACATTCCCAAATACAGCTTCTTTCCTTTTTCCTTTTCAAGCAGTTGCTGCTAGCAAGAGACTCCCATGTGCATGTCGAATCTCATTCTCTGCTCCCTCACCATCTGCAGCACTCACTCCTCCCTTTGAATGCTCCCCCGCCTTACAAATATCCCTGGTCTAGACACACTACACACAACTCATTTAAGTAGATCCCAGATGTCACTCAAATATTTCCACCAAACTGATTAACATCCACTCACTTTGGCAAAACGGGGATGATTTCACCGCACATGAGGGGCTGACAAACTGGTTTTACTTGAAATCCAATTAAAGCATAGCTACTTGGTATGATTAATGTAAAAGCGTTTGGTCTGTTTCTGTTTCCATTTGAGCCGAGTTTGAATAACCTTTAACTCTGGAAAAGCAGATCCAAACTTAACCCCTCTCCTTCCTTCTGTTGAGGGTCTAAGCTAAAATGACATGCTCACAAACCTTTGATTTTGGTGTCTCAATCTGGAGAGAAAAACTGAGGTCTGTATCCAATATCTAATACTAACAAAAGCTGTACATTGGAAGAGAATCTAAGATGACTGGTAAGAAAATGTTGCTCTTTATAATCTAGTGAAAGAAACGTTTGCTACTTTTTGTAAATCTCATGTATACTAAATAATTTCAGATGGTGAAAGATGTAGAACAAACTGTTGCTGTTATTTGTTGCCATAGCAATTCACAGTTGTTTTACTCTCCAAAACACTCTAAACTGCCTATGCAAATATTTTCATACCAACAAAATTAAGATTAAGAAGCAAAAGATCTAAATGATAAAATAACATTTTAACAAATCTTGGCCATTGTTTTTGTACTGGGTTCTTACAATAGTTAGATTTCTATGTCCCTATTTAGGCACCGAAATAAGTTATCTGATTTTCCAAAGCTGATAAGTACTGAGATGTTTTCACTAAAATATAGACTGAGTTTAACTTTAGACACTTGTTTCTTAAAAAAAATCTTAGGTGCCTATTTTTCTACTAATTCTTAAACACAAAATAATGTTAGCTGTACAATTTACAACCTATCTCCAGCCCTGTAAAAAATTTGTTGTCTGTTCTAATGAATTGGGCCCCAATAATAAATGCCATGTAAAACATGTAATATTGGCATGAGTAATTAATGAGAAACTGTGCAAAGATGCCACGGCTGCAGGGAACTTATTTTGGATGCCAACCTATTTTTTATTTCACCAAAGATGACAGCAAACGTAGCAGTAATTCGTAATGAGAGCAGCAGTCTAGAAAAGATTGCATGAATCAAAAAAGACTGTAAAAATACACCATGAGACTTTTATTTTGTTAAGGATATTGTAAATAAAACTACTTTTTCCCATGGCTGCACTGAACTTAACAGTTTGGATAGAACTGTAAGTACTCTGGAAGCCTAATCTGTAGAAGAAATTATCTAAAACTATGATTTCCAACCATCAGCTAAGTACTGAAACAGATTTTTTCTAGGTACTCTGGAGTAATCAATACAAAACATATTTACTAAAAAAGTGTAATTTCAAATTATCTTCAACTACTGTAAATCAGATTTAAGCCTCATTTATCATAGCTTAGCTTTTTCTCTTTTTTGATGTATTTTCATAGAAGCTAAATTAGCTTAACTCCTTTTATATGTACTTATACAAGGGATCAACATAGATTGAGCCAAGCTAATTTCTAATCAGGCTTTAGCTGAAGAGGTGCAACTTGCACATGTAGAAAATCCATTTCTTGCAAAAAGCTGCAAGGTATTTTTAATGCTGACCTTTTTAGTCATCATTTACAGTAGTGTTAAAATCTGAAAATAAAAAATATCTTGCCCTATCCTAGTAAGATCTAGAGATGTAGTTCTAGACTCAGTCTGCTAAAAGTTATTAAAGTTCAAAAGACAAATCTGGTGCTCTCATAAGGTTTTTGCACTAACTGTCAGAATTTCTTCTCTACCAAATACAGTAGGTTGATAATAATAGATATATGCCCCAGAGTACATTAAAATCCAAAAGCAGTTGAGAAGAATCTTCATGACCCTGCAACCCCAACTATACTAACGAGGAGCCATGAACATTTATGGCATTTACCACTGACAGCCTAAGGAGTTTTACCTTCTCAAGACTCATCATTCCTTATGGCCATGTGCTAGCTGCAAAAATCTGTCTTAAACCTGAAAAGAAATGCAAGGAGCTCTGATTTCCCAGGTGAGGTTTTTTTTCCCCTCAGTGTTTTACTGCTCAGTGGTCTACTGTTTTACTGTGTAAAAATGAACTAAATGTGAACTTGTTATACACATCTCTACAGCTTAATAGTTCTGCCAGGTATTCTCTTTCTGAGAGAATAACCTTCTTGCCTGCATCCCCAGAGCTATAGCAAATGCTATAGGGATCCCTGAGCAGCAGGAGGCAGTGGAGGTTTGATGAAGCAGAGCTGACTAGCTAACATTGTATTTAAAAACAGGTATATGGAAGGGGCTGACCATAGCAATCTGGAGGCCAGTTGAAGAGGAAGGATCGGTGGTTTAGATGGGTGGAAAGAGTTACTGAGGGGAGGCTTGGTGAAACTTGGTGTATCTTGCATAGCAGAGCCATTCTGCACACATTTCCCAGCACTTCCTGGCTTGATTTCCTCATCCATGTATCCTCCTTATGCTGAGACACCTGGATGCCTATGTCCCACTTCATGATAAGTAGCTGTTGCTGAATCAGGCTACTCTCATGATCTTGCCTTCCTTCATCAGGGCTCTGATTCACCCTCTTTTGCAATGCAGGTCTACAGACTGATTTTTCCCCCTTCATTCACATTCGTTCTCTACATCTTTCCTTCAGCCTCTCAGTGACACCTCTGCTAGTCCTTTCAGTGGGTGATATCGTGCTTCCCAGATGAGCACAAAAAGTTGCCACATCTCACCCCACACCAACATAGTGCATTTCTTGGAGCATCAAGATGTAAAGAAGATTCAGTTTTCCTCTGCACAGCCTGAAATAGTACATCCCTTACAAATTTATACAGCAAACTACTTTTGCAATAAATTAAGCTGCTAGAGACTGATTTATGTCAATCTGAAAATAATGCTAATTTGAAAAAGCAAACTCTTGGAAAAGTGTTTCTTTCAAGAAAAATTGTTCAACTTTAAGAGACCATTTAAGCCCTCTATAATTGGCACTGCAGATGTGGCATGAAGATTTAATACACTGGACTAGACTCTCTTCAGCAATATACGGGTTTGTCTGCACATACAAATTAGTGTGCCGTAACACAATGGAGAGAATTTATGCCTCACTAAATGCAAGGTAAAATATTTCAAGGCAGAAACAGTTTCAGACAAGCTAGCGCACTATAAAATCATACTGAGGAATAAAGCTCTAACACAAGCATAAAGCTCTAAAGTTTTGAAAATTAGTTTGCCCCTGTAGTATTGTTCCTTCATCTTTACCCTTCAGTTGATATTCCTCAAGGGAATTCTGCACAGAAGGTGCCTCATGACAGTTTCGTTCAAGTTTGAGAAATAAGCAGGAGCTTGGCAATGTGAAAGTTGAAAGATCAATACATCGAAGCAGCCTTAACACTATCAAGGTGTCGCCTGAGTCATGAAACTAAAGAAACCTGAAAGGCAGCATGGCAGGCCCTTTGTCTTTTTGCAGATTCTATAGATGCAAAACCCTCTCTCATAACTTGTAATATTTAAGAGCTGTAGAGAAATAAATACGCTATTCTAGCTTTTCCGTCACTGACAACAACTAACACAACAGTTCATTTGCCATGTGGAAAAAAACAAATATTGTCCTGGGAGCTCCTACAAAAGCAGAAGCATTTCTGGCAGAGTTATATCTGTCTCTTTTACAAGGAACCACACTTTAAAACGTACCTTTTTGTGCTCTACTTAACTGGCCTGCAAGTTTTTATTGTTCTTTTGGTGATTATTTTATGAAGCTTTACAACTGAAAAAGCTATTCCAGAGTTTGAGGAGTTTTAAGCTGAGAAAACTGATGCTCTTAGCTCTAAGTGACTTTGAAAACAATTACAAGCACTCATATCTTCATTACGATGGACTAAGAAAAAAATTACTAGGCTGATGGTAAGTCCTGCCTAGTTTACCAAGGAGGTACAGAACTCAGCTATTTAGTTCTGTACTTATTTTTACGTATAAGTAATAAAATTGATATTATATTTCATTATTAAGCCACAGAATTTTATTAACATTATACAGCCAGTACCTGATAAAATTTTGAACTCCTAATTGTGCTTACCTCCGAACTGGAATTTTCCCATTTGTGTTTGTTAGAAAGGCCAGCTTCATCCAGCTGAAATGATGAATGAAATATTTTTAAAATACTATTTATTGAAATTGGGATCTAGATACTTAGATTTAGATTAAGATTGACGTGTCTGTGAAATTAGTAGAAAAAACTCTTCTGTAATAAAAGCATTTTCTGTAACCTTTTAGTGCTTGAGGCAGAACAGTTCTGTAACCATAAAGGCAAAAAGCAGCCCAAAACAATCAGCATATCAACTAACTTGAGTGTGAAGACAAGAAAGTCTCATGGGCGTATGTATCAATGAAAGAACAAACCAGACAATAATTAATATACAAAATCAATAAATCAAATAAACAGTTGTAAATTCTCTTACACTTTCTCCTGGGCAGATGCCAGATAATAGACTTGAGACCTCTTCTGGTCACAGTGAAAGAGAAATCCTAAACTAATTTATCACCATTTTCTTTACTACAGTGTTTTGTGATTGCAAATGCTCAACTATAAAAAATATTTTTTTTTAAATTCGAAGAAGGAAAATACAAGGACATAAAAATAAAGGAGAAAGGGAAGGAAAGAAAGTAACTTACTGTTTCTTGAGACATGTCATTGGACTGACATTGTTAGCTCTAAAGTTATGTATGATGGATCCAAGCCCTTCTACCCATTGCTGAAAAACACAAAAATACAGAAACACCAAATTATGGAAAGTAGGAAAGTCTGTCTTTGGGGCAGGTTCTTCTTCCTTGTAGCTATGGATAATGTTAACAAACTGAGTTGAGGAAAAAAACTGCTCCCTTCACAACATATCACACCATAGGAAAGTCCAGCCACATTCTACCCATTACCTTCACTAAACAAAGTGATTGTGCTTTCCATTCTTCCAAGTACTACATGTAGCATCAGCGGTGCTACTAAAACAGTTTACTGCCAGCAAAGGCAAGCGATCCATTGATTGATTTATTAAGTCTTCTATTTATAGCCTGTATAAACATACGCCTCCCCTCCAGTTGCGGCTGGTAATACCAGCTATTACTAAGCAACATTATACAATATGTGATGACATATTTAACTGGTCCAGTTTTAGAAAAGGAATGAAAGAAAATATTAATAAGCTAGAGCAAACCACAGGGAGGCGCAACAAATGTTCTGTGACACTGACCTCACCAAATACTCTGTTACACGTTCAAGTCCTGCTTGCTTCCTTCCCCAGTAATGAGTGGGGTAACTTTCAGCCAACAGCAGTGTTACTGCACTTACTTATGTAAATCCTTCTCATGGTCTACTTTTCTACTATAGCTTGTACCTAGACTTTTCAGTACTGTATAGAAGATGCTTAAGGATTAGGCCCTAACAAGAACACTCAATTCAGCAAGAATCCTGGCACGGTAAAAGCTATAGGAAGAGAAAAAAATGACAACACCACAAGCCAAATTCAATCTCGATTATGGCATTGTAATGGCCATAATCTAGGATTACTCAACAGATAATTTACTCTGGTGAAACTGAAACAGGATTTGGTCCACTGCTTAACATTAACCTTATGAATAAAGAAAATTCTTGCTTCCGGCCAAATTCTGTGCATGCAGCTTGAACTAACTTGGGCAGGATCCAGAATTTGACACTTATAAAGAGATGCAGATGAGAATATTTTTCTTTTCATGAATAAGTGTTGTATATCTGCAAAACAGATGAAAAATATCATCATTTATATAGGAAGAATACTAACGTCTTTGGAAAATGGCATATAGTAAACTGCAGGCAGTAAATCCTGGAGCGGCTGAGGGAACTAGGGTTGTTTAACCTGGAGAAGAGAAGGCTGAGGGGAGACCTCATCACCACCTACAACTACCTAAAGGGAGGTTGTAGAGAGGTGGGTGCTGGTCTCTTCTCCCAGGTGATGGAGGATAGAACAAGGGGAAACAGCACCAAGCTGTGCCAAGGGAGGTTCAAGTTAGAGATAAGGAGGAAGTTCTTTACTGAGAGGGTTGTCAGAGGCTGGAACAGGCTGCCCAGGGAGGTGGTGGAGCCACCATCCCTGGATGTATTTAAAGAGCGGGTAGATGAGGTACTTAAGGATATGGTTTAGGGGGTAGACAGGAGTGGTTGGACGTGATGATCTCGGAGGTCTTTTCCAACCGAGCGATTCTGTGATGAAAAAAAAAAAAAATCCCTATAGGCTAAAACAAGGTCTAAGGTGTCAATTCAGCAGATAAACACACTTAAGCAGACCCTTGCACTCATGACACATTAGAAGCACATCACAAACTTCTTTTTAAACAATAAACTGTTAATTTGATGCCCTTAAAAATGGACCTTATAAATCTATTTTGCCTTATGAAAAGCAGACATTTATTAATATTTAAATATACTTTTTTGAATTATCCTTTTAAGAAGTACTGCATAAAATACATAATTAGAGTAAGTGATATATTTGAGAATAATTTAAAAATAGAAGCCTGACTTAGGAGAAAAGCTAGCATTTGAGACTTGCTCAGGCATGGTTTTGTGCTTGAAAACAACCCACCAGTAACAGTCTGCTCTCCCACTTCTCTTTTCCCAGCTGCATGAATAAAGTGACATTAGTAGCCATAGTATGGACGTACTGTCCTGGGATATAAAGAAAGCAAGGTTCATGGGGAAGAGATAAAATTATTTATTAGAACTGATATAACTGGAAGCCATTGAGAGACTTTGAGAACACTTATCTTCTTAACTTTTCCTACAAAAGTTACGCAACCTAAGAAGATATAGGAATAATGCTTGTGATAATTTCAGAACAAATGCCTGAGCAAGTCTTACATACATTTCAATTTCTTAGAACTGTCAAAATTCAACTATCACCAACTATCTAAATTTGTGGGGGTTTTTTTGTGATTTTTTTTTTGTTGTGTTTCGTTTGTTTTAAACAGTAAAATGTAACATTACTGCTGCATTAACACTGTCACAGCTATACAAAAATTAATCCTCATATGATCTAGATTAGCCTGTGGTCCCTTAGCTTCTCAACCTTTCAACACTGACCCATAAAGTAAAATGGCATATGCAATGCAAAGAAAAAAATCCTTGTAAAATTAAATTACACAAAATGCAAGCTCATTCTCAACAAGCTTGTCTTTCAAAACCCCAGTTTTTTTCTGCTAAAAAGCACCACTGGTGCAGTACTGGCAATGTCACTGTTTCAACAGGAAATAAACATGCAGTGATCCATTCTTTTTTGAAGGCAATGGATTGCAACTACACCAGATAAAACAAAATCTAGCATTTAAAAGTAAGATTACCCAGCACTCAGTTCTGAAGTTACTTCTGTACATTAAGACCAACTGCCAGAAAGGTACACTGCTAGAAAAAAGAAATAAGTATAGAGAGAAATTAATACACCTACCACTTACCAAGTAACTTCTTTGCAGGAATTGTCCTGATGATTCCCACTTTAGCAAGAGCTCTTTAATCTTTTCTCAATTATAATGCCCTTTCCTGATAGAGATGCCAAATCAGGAACTGCTCTCTCTTTCACCAAAAGGGCACAGAACTACAGCCAAACACTAATAAACCACTAAAGCATCACTTCTCTGCTGGGAAGCAAGGAAGTAACCTCTGTCCATCCATGAATCATCTTTACATTGTCATGATGTTCCCTGGGCAAGACATGGCAGTTCGAGATACACATTTGTCCATCTGTTCCACACCACACAGCTGCACTACAATGTAGCATCTGGCTGCCTGCACTTCAGTTTCAGGCTACAGCAGTTTCTGGGGCATTTCATCAGATATTCCCCATAGCTACCAACTGGCTCCAAATTAACTAGCAATAAGAGAGCAGAGAGGAAAAAAATGCTTCTGATTGTGAATATACTATATAGAAGGAAAATTACATAAGATGAAAAAATTTCTTCATCCATAGATTAATATGCAGGCTCAGTGCAACACATTCAAACTCTTTGTCAGCTGGTTAACACAGAACATCCTTCCCAGCTAGAACAGTCTCCAAATAACAACTATCTTCATAACCACTTTTAAGGCACTGTGTTCCAGTTCACAGATATTCACAGGATATCCAACGCCTTAATACTCCGACAATTGTCAAGCTGGCAATATATTGTTTTCCTGGCAACAGACCATTCCCCAATTTAATGTACACTTGTCTGATGACCTTGTGGGAGGGATGACAGAAGAGCTCAAATTCTTCTCTGCTAATGCACTACAAAGAAGATAGCAGCAGCCTTGCCTGTGTGCTATGCGAGCACTTCTTATTCTACAGATGAAGCTGAAAGACCTGTAAACCTATGCAAATTAACAGAGATAAAGATCTTCAACTCTCTTCTTTTGTGCTCAGTATTTCCAAATTACCACCTTTCCAAAGAAGGAAAAAGCTATAACAAGATTAAACTCTGAAATGAGGTAGACAGGAAACAATTCACTTGGGTCTTACAGAAAGTAAAGTTACAAAATGTTTTTGATAGAAATACAGGATACACTTGATTCTTACTAGTGATATTACTAGACTGTCAGATTTTCAAAATATGGCTCAGTACTTTCAACCTGTCAATGCAACTCTTGAATGTCTCTCTACATACCAAGAATTATTCCAGATTCATATAAAAGAGGAATCTGGGCCTTGCTATCTAATCCTAAAGAAACAATAACCATGAAAAGAAACAAAACCAAAGACAAGCACACCTTAAACACAAACCCTTAGGCTGACACAAGTGACCAAAATCTCAGTACGCTGCAGGCTGGAATAAGCAGACTGTGTTGTTTTTCTCTAACAAGATCCAACACTGTCAAATATTGCTATAAGGAGAAGGTGCAAGAAAACCTGATTGCAGCAGCACTCTCTCAGCTTTTGCTGTAGCACTCAAATACTCAAATGCTTCTGAGGCACTTAGTGACCTTGTGTTAGCTGGGGTTTATCAATGAAACACAGGCAGCTGTTGAACGGTGCACAGATAAGTTTGACCTTTCAGCTCTCCTCACCATCAACCTTTCATTTAGGAGGGTTAAAAAGGGCAAAAATTCTGAAAGGCTATAAGTCCCTGTAACCTACAGTTCATGAAATTGTAGACAAGGGCATCCAGGGCTTACTTACAGATGAGGTCAGTATTATCCAGACCTCTTGAGATTTTCCTTTCACTTTTTTGGTGCAGTCTCTCCACAGTTGCACTCTACTTACTTCAAGTATCAGGAAAGCTGGGGAGGCAAAGAGGCACAGCCCTCTGATTTTGGTATTTAGTGCCTGTGACTGGCTGTCAAAGTCAAGGTCTTAATAACTTGAAGATTCAGGAAACCCATGGAGAATAGAATCACATTTCCTAATTCTAACCAAGACAGACATGGCCTAGCAGGATTCCCTGGTAATCTGCCCTCATTCAGCAATGCTGTGACCAGCAGATGTCCCTCTTCTCTCAACGCTCATGTCTCAGAAGTAATTTCTGTTCTATGAAAATTACTGTATCCTTAACATATGAAACAGCAAAAGCAAGGAGACTAAACTAGTGACAGTGTAAAACTTAGCCCCTACCTGACCAAGTGCAGCACAGACTTGCAGGATATTGCTGTGAAAATTCTGTTACAAAGATAAAAGGGGCTCTTCTGAGTTTCAAGTATTTAATCTGCAAAGCTGAGGCTCACGCAAACACTCTGTATTGGAAGTTGTCTGATGTGTTCAGA